AGGAAAGGAGAAGCGTTTCATAATCGAAAGGGAGGCAACATGCCCTGTTGTTGTTGTTGGAAACGTATGCCCTTGTTTCTGCACGTTTTTAACAATGTAATGTATTATTCCTTTCGCAATGTGCGTTAATAACAAACGGCTCTACTCAAACAAACGTGTTAGATCCTCTGAACTGAAATCATATGCTACTGCTTGGAATACAATACAGCATATAATATGAAATCGAGTTTTCAAGACGGTTTGCACCCTTTTCAACACCGTGTCGCATATAGTTGCAGTCGTTTGACTTGAAACACAAGGAAGTGTATCGACTCAATTTTTGAGCTAAAGTAGATTTTGTAAAAATAGCGTTTGGCTTACCACTTGCAGGAGTTCAAATTCTAAGTCGATCACTTTCTCCTACTGTCCCGAGACGGTGTTAAACACTTGAGACGTCAGAGTACAAGCTAATATAGGTAAAACATAGCAAATGTTTTAGACTCGTCTAAGCTACATTGTGCACCACGTTGCAAGTTAATTTCAGACATTAAAGAGAACACAAGGCATTGTTTTGCTCCTGACGCCCATGCCAATGGTCACTGTGAACCGTCGAGTAGCTCGTGACGACACAAAGACATAGAGGGGGGCTGGGGCGGCTGTCGCGCTACCAAAGCGACACAAAAACGAATGTGAACAAGAAGACAAACGAGAGTTCAGTTGAAACGTCAAAACGCACTCAGGGAGGCGGCCGCCCTCACAAAGGTGTCATCGTCATTCGCTCTTCATCCGCAGACGGACGGTGAAAAACAAAATAAAAAAAAATAACTGGACACATCAAAGTTTGGTCATGACAGCTAGGCGTCGATCAAATGAGGGACACACTGTTACTAAACACGAAGCTCAGCTTGCAGCTACAAAGGTATCACGCAATACGATATGATCCAGTGAGCGAAAAAAATCAGTTCACGAATGGTGTGCGAAACTAGTGATATGATTCGCCCCCGCTTAAAAGTGAGTTGCCAGGCACTAAAACTAAAACAAAATACATGGAAAAAGTCGTGCGATTGAGCGGGAGCTTCGTTGCGGCTTGCACAATGTACAACACATTTTGAAAATGGTAAAGTACAAGCACATTGTTCACAGTGATTTACTGAGCAGTGGCCGGCATATATATCAATTTCTCTAATAACTTTTTAGAGATTTGCAGTGTATTTCTATGCAACATTGAGGCGGCATGCGCCCGGCAGGATTAAGACAAACGGATAAAGAGCATTACGCACTGCCATTAGTGCGGTCCGCAAACAGAGGCGACAAATCCGATAGACCCGGGCGCACGCCTCTGGCCAGATCTGGCCGCGAGACGTTTAGTGCTGGTGGTGGCGGGGCGTGGCGGGGCGTGGCGGGGCGTGGCGGGGCGTGGCGGGGCGTGGCGGGGCGTGGCGGGGCGTGGCGGGGCGTGCGGCCCGGGGGTGCAAAGCGCCAACGGGTGCCGCGGCGCCACGCGAGGCAGAGGGGTGGCGGCGCGGTGCGGCGTGTTGCGTGGGTGAGAGAGAGAGAGAGAGAGAGAGATAGAGAGAGAGAGAGAGAGGGAGAGAGGGGCGGACTGTGGGCGATGAAGTGGATGGAATTGATGTTTGCTTGATGACTAAATCCGCTGCGGTTTCTGGCGGAGGCACGGTGGGCGGAGGAGAGGGGAGGGGTTGTAGACGGAGCAAAAGGGGGAAGGGGAAATGGAAAGGGGAACTCGACTACTCCACTCAGCGCTACTCCGCCACTTTATGTACAGTTTAATTTAGCAGCCGCAGTCGTGAGCGAGCCCGCGACTGGCTGCTCTGGCCTGCCAGAGAAACGTACTGCTGCTGCTTTGATAATTGTTTATCATTATTAATAACTACAACAATAAGTAACACACAACAATTTTGTTGTTGATGGAGCATTTTACTGGTTCATTTAGTTTGGGAAGGAATTGTCATATGTATCTTTCACGGGACCGCGACTGTGATGGCTAAAGTTGACCGGGGTTGACGGGCTGGGCAGTGATCATGGGGTGGGCAGAGAGAGAGAGAGAGCAGGGGGTGTGAGGCAGTGACAGGCCAGACAGATAGACAACAAACAGAGAAAGACAAGATTAATTGACAAAGGGGGTGACGAGCCCGCGCGAGCCCCTGGCCCTGGTGTTGGAGCCACCGAGCGTGAAGTGGTCGGTGATTGTGGCTGCAAACAGATTGCTGACACGTGCACGCGCCCGGCCAGGGTCGATTGCGTCGGGTTGGTGGCGCGGGGTACCTACCCCCCCAGTACCCGCCGCTCCGCTTATCGCGACAGCTCCATCGAGGCTCTCACCGGCGTTATACGACTTCCCACCCTCGTGAATGTAACACCCCTCTGTCTGTCCGTCCGTCCTCCTCCCGTGAGTACCCGCGGAGGCACCCACCTCAGGTGGCCAGGGAGGGTAGAGAGGGAGGGCATGGAAACTGACCTTGAAAGGTTTTTAGGTTTTTCTTAGGTTTCTTTTTAAAAAGAATCTTTTTCGTAGGTTACATTTTCTAGTTTTCTTTTTTGAGTTTATTTTTGTGTGTTTCTTTTATTAGGTTTCTGTTTTAAGGTTTTTTGTTATTATATGTTTCTATTTTTAGTATTTTGAATAGGTTTTTTGATAGTTTTCTTTTTTACCCAGTCCAAAAATCTCATAGACAATATGGAATTCCAATTCCATGATCTCTAATAGGTTTCATGTTTTAGGTTTCTTGTTTTGAGTTTTCCTTTTCATATTCTCAATTTCGGTTCCGTTTCCTTAGGTTTCTCTTCTAGTATATGCATCGAAGTAGAAAAAGGGCCAGGATATATATTTTTGGGGGGCCGAAAAAAGAGTCCCTAGGAAAAGTAACACGCGCGAATATATTTGTGGACTTGCAACGACGTGTTTACGCGTGGCGGTCACACGACGGCGTGCGAAAACAAACCCTTGCGCTCCCCCCCTCCCCCCCGCCTTCCCCCTCATCCTCTCTCATTTGGTTGTTTGGGCGCGGCGCGGGCCTCGGGGGGCGCCAGACCAGGACCCCACGGCACGCGCGGGCCGCACGTCGGGGATAACAGTCAGCTACCGCACCCCCGCACCTCACTTCTCTCTCTCTCTCTCTCTCTCTCTCTCTCTCTCTCTCTCTCTCTCTCTCTCGTCTTTCTCACACTTGTTAGGCTGCGGCGCTACTGGCTGCTGATGACATCCTCACATGCACAGCTCATCACCGCAGCAAGTTCAACCACCAGCAGCTTACCCGGCGTTTCCATAATTTCCAGACGGAGGGGAAAAAAACACAAATAAAATAAATAAATTATTTTATTCATTTGCTTTCACCGAAAGAAGCTTTTCGAGTTTTCGGACGACGTGTACCTCAAGACCCACAACATCACCCATCACCCGTTTTCTCTCTCAATTTGACCTCTTTCTATACCGTTCCCGAACCTCCCTCGCAGCCTCTCCATCCCCCGACCCCAGAACGCTCTCTATCTTACTCCCACTCTCTCTCTCTCTCTCTCTCTCTCTCTCTCTCTCTCTCTCTCTCTCTCTCTCTCACACACACACACGCACACATGGCATGGGGCCCTCACAGCCGCTCTCCTCCGACCAAAGCCAATCGGCTGTGTCAATAAGGATCATGCATGTGTTTGCATGAGCGCCACCAGAGGGCTGAGAGGCCCCTCCCCTCCTCCTCACACACGCTATAGGCCTGAATATTTTGTTGGATGGAGAGAGATCGAGAGATATCGATAAGGAGCAAACAGGTCGGCCGGCAGAAAAAACACAAAGTAATTGGGGGGCATAACCCCGAAAACTTGCAGATTTGCAGTCCGGAAAAAAACTCAGGAAAAGTTGCGGAAAAAAACGAAAGAACAGGCAAAAATACGCAATTTTTGAAACAGGCCGCTTATTATTGGGGGCTAGGTCCGTTTTGTTTGTAAATTTTAACGGAATATTTTCCGTAAAAAAAAAAAAATAAAACAATTTCGCCGGAAACTTGAACTTTTCCAAAAAATGTATATCTCTACGCAAACTGCACTGGCTGCGTCTATTACTTACGGACGAAAGTCTGAAAAACGAAAGGGAGCTGCATAAGAGCGAGGTGAAGGTGGGGCGTGGTAGGGCGTGGTAGGGCGAGGCGGGGCGAGGCGGGGCGAGGCGGGGCGAGGCGTTCCGTCAGGGGCGCGGTGTGTACTGCGCGTGCCCGGATAATTCGGGGGAAGTAATCGTGTTTACCGAATGGGGCCACGCCGGGGCCACAGAGTGAGCCAAAGAGAGAGTCCGAGAGAGAGAGAGTCCGAGAGAGAGAGAGAGAGGGGGAAAGAGAGAGAGAGAGAGAGCGAAAGAGAGAGAGAGAGAGAGCGAAAGAGAGAGAGGGGGGGAGAGGTAGAGGGAGAAAGAAAGAGAGAGAGGGGGAGAGGCAGAGGGAGGGAGAGAGAGAGAGAGAGACGTTGGATGGGTTATGCCAGTAAGCTGCAAGCTGTACATCCACGTCTGGCGGGGCTAGAGCACAGCAGAGTCCAGATGATCACGCTGTAAGTATGCACGCACGAGCGACGAGCGCTCCGAGTGTGCGCACTGATGGTCGAGTGCTCGCGCACGGCCGGCCAGCCTGTGCGCCCGCCGGGTAGCCACGCCCGGCGCGCACCGCTACGGGGCGGGTGGCCTACCCAGAGGCGCCTAGGCTGCCTGGCCGGCTGCAGTCAGGCCTCTGTGAGAAATACTGAAATAATTGGCAACAGTTACAGGAAAGGTTTCTGCGATATGTGTTGTAGAAGTGCAATTTGAAATTGTACACTTACAAGTGCTGCAAAAACCTTGGGCCAATAGTGGCCTCGCGGTTAGTCAAGTCAATATCGACTTGCAGCTCATCGACAAACAAGAACGGGCTGTCGAAAATTCACCAAATATTTTGTAAGCCGCAATTGAAAAATATGTTGTAAACTAACGAGGATATTTTTCAAAGAGAGCTGACTGGACTCAGAGAAAGAAAGCTATCGCGTTTCTCTTACTGGCGTACATTTTATTTCATGTTTTACTCTTTCAATTGAATCATATTGTTTACATTTATATATGAGGTGTCCTCGTGGGCGTCGCTTGGACGCGTCTTTAAAAGCGGCACTACTTGCCCCTCTTGCCGCTGGGAGGGCTCTTCTTGCCGGAGGGTCCGGCGCCTCCGCTGTTCGGCTTCCTGTTCTTTACCGGGACGATCCCCCAAATCCACTTCCCGCCCTTCACAGGCTTCTGCATGGGCCCCTGTGGCTTCAAGAACCAGGGACCGTTGAGCGACTCCTACATTAGGGAAAAGCCAAATGAAGCTACCGACCATCTCACAGAACCGTGTAAACTACGCACAGTTTAAAAAACAATAGTCTACCTGTAGCGTTAGGGGGGGCTGTGTCCACTGTTTCGGAGGAGACTTCGGAGGAGACCTCGCAGGAGACCTCGGAGGGGACGAGCGCTTTTGCAGGGTATGCGGGGCATCGTCACCAGCAGCCGGCTCCGAGCAAACCTGTCATCAATGAGCGTTTTTTTGTGGCGTACAGCCACCCAGAGAAATGATTAGCAACGGCAACCATCTGATGGTCGGCTCAGGGAGCACCATAAAATATGGTTGAGACAACAGTGACAACGTGATGAAAACCATATTTTTGGTTCTCACTACCACGGTAAGGTTGCATCAACCATATTTTATGGTGCTCCCTGAGCCAACCATATGATGGTTGCCATTGCTAATCATTTCTCTGGGTGGCAGCTCACACTGGAAACACAAGAGTGTGGATGTCGCACACTTCTTGAAAAGTGTGTGAATCTTCATTTTACTCAGGACAACAGTTAAGTGTAAACGAATTTTACTAGAAAATTTGCAACATTTGCACTTTTACTGGTATAAAGTGTGCGAATGGAAATTCACTAACTTACAAGTGCGCGTCATTCATACTCCTGGATTTCCAGTGTACTTACAGCAAGGAGCACCAGCAGCGTGACCGGCAACAGGACAAGGACTTCATGTTCGGGACTGTTCATGATCCCCTCTGGTAGCACCCTGCTTATATAGGCGGTTGAGCGCCAAGCTCATCGTGATGCGCGATACGACGGGGTCACGACGGGAATATTGAAGTGCCATTTTTGTTTTCCGCAAGACCATTACCACATTGGGCGCGCACGACCGAACATGGCCAAACAACGAGTCGATGAAATAATTAATGTCCCTCTTTGGTGGGCACATCTCTTCCGGTTGATATGGAAATGGCATATCCGCGGGGGAAGGAGGCGATGCACCGCAGCGTGTGCAGATGTCGGGGCAGGCTGAGAAAGCCGGAAGGGGTGGGCGACTCAGCTACGCAGGGAGCACCAGCAGCCGGTGTGCGTTCGGCTTTCAGGGAAATGAGCAGGGGGCACAGCCAACGCCCCGGCGGGCATGCGCCACAGCAGACGCTCTACTGGAGCCGCACTCTTGCAGCCGCGTCACTACTATCACACTTTGTTATCGCTGCTTCTGCTACTCAGCTCTTTGCCATAGAGTTCACTCTTTTTATTCCCTTTCTTCTCATCCTATTTTCCTTTTTTTT